AACCAAAATGAACAAAAAGAGAAGAATATTGGCAGAAACCACATATGACCACAAAGACTGAAATACCTAGTATCTGGCCCTTTACAGAAAAAGTTTGCTGGTCTCTCGTGTAGCTCAAGGTTGGTTACATTTCTTGTTTTCAAAGAGCCAGTCGTCGTCTGAACTGATTTTCTCTAGTGTTTTCCTTTCCTCTCTCGCTGCTCAGATCTTTATTATTTTCTTCGGTTTACTTCTCGTGTAGTTTGCTCTTTTTCGTTGATGTTTCCTAAGAACCCGGTCTTAGCTGGCACAGGGGTGGCCCCAGCTGTGCTGCCGAGTCACATGTTCACTTCCGCTCGGCCGGAACACGTCGTGGTGTCCTCTTCTGCGCTGGGCTCTCCTCTGCACGCCGGTGGTGGGTCCCTCGGACTCTCCTGCATTTGATTTCCGCCTCCGCTTCCGTGTGGTCAGGGCACATGCCTTCTCGGGCCTCGGCGCTTTAACGCCGCGGCCCCCACGTGTGGCGAACGTCGCGGGCGGGCGGAGCGCTGCTCTGTGGGCTCCCGGCCAGCGGTCCAGCCCGGCGTGCGCGGCGCGTGGCCAAGCTCCCGCTCTCGCTCAGGTCTGCGTCTCTCTTCGGCTCCGAGCGTTTCTCTTTCCCCCTCCCGGGTCGCGGGCTTGCAGGTGGGCTCACGCGTCCGCTCTCTGCTGGGGTCGGCCTTCTGCCCGCCCGCGGCCTCCCACTTTGTCTCCAGTGGCTGCAGTTCGCGTGGGGGCCTTCCGTGCTCCCACGCTCCGTCGTTCTGTCTTTGGGCCTGAAGTCTGTCTCTCGCGAACAGTGGGTGGGCCAATGTTTCGTTTCTGTCTGTTTCTTAAACTGCAGTCCGGCAGTCGAGTTCTGGTGAAAGGACAGGGTTTACCCACATCCGATGTTTTCCGCTTGGCTGTGTGCCCGCCGTTCCCTGTTCATTTTCTGTCTCGCCCATTCATTCGTTCATTCGCGCCACGCACGCCGGGCCGGACCGCTCTGTTCGCCTCTGTTCTGCCCCTGCCGCCTCCGCCTTTTTTACTGAATAGATAATTTCTATGGTCCTACTGACAATTACTCATTTTTAACTCTTCTGAACTATTTCCCTAATGGTTGCTTTCTGGGGGGTCTTCCTGTGTTGTTCTGTGTGTTTCTCAGGTGCCTGCTTATCCCTGTGCACCGGCCTCGGTCTCTGAACACCTCCCTGTACATTGGAGGTCTTGGACGAGGGTCCACTTCTTCCAAGCTTCTCCCTGGTTTTCCCAGGCACCTGGAAGAGCCACCATCCTGGGACTGCCAAGGTGGTGCCCCCAGACTCCTCTCACCCAAGGGAGGTCGGGGCTGCCGCCTGAGGAGTAATCCCCCCACCCTGGTCGTGAGCAGCCTGGGCTCCAACTTCCCTCCTCTCAGAACCAGGGTCAGTGAGGCCTTCAGGGCAAAAGGGGCTTGTGTTTTCTGAGTTCAGGCCTTCTTGTGTATCTAGGCCCAGTGTCTGCCAGTGCTTCTCCTTAACTCTGTGTTACTCCTACAGACTCCTAAAATACACAGCTCTTAGCTGAACAGAGAGGAGTGTAGTTAGTGTGTCACTTCTGCAGGTGGAATGTGCAATTTGCAGACCATATGAGCAAGAAAGCCCTCTGGGACTCAGAGTTTGAGCAGAGACACGCAGGAAGCTACTGTAGGCAAGTCACTTGACCCCGCGCTTTGCAAGCAGGCTTTCGACCTATTGGTGGGTCCACTGTCTTCCTCGCCTTCTTCAGGGTCTCCCTGTGGAGTGTGGGTCCTGAGTGTGGAGGTCTGACCACGTAACTTCTGTCTGTCTTCCAGCCCACGTGTCTGAAAGCCAGACATAAGGACACTTCACAACAAAATAGAACAAAATAAACTTTTCATTCTGCGTAGAGGGAGAGCGTCGTGTGGGTTAGGGTAACATTCATGTTGGCAGCCCATCCCACACCTCGTGTGTCCCAGGCTTCCATCCGCCTCCAGCTTTTGTCTGATGCTGGCTGCGAGCGCACAGCCACAATCTCACTCAGAAGCTACTTAACTTGAAGCTCCAAGATTCATTCAACTGCACAATTCTTTGACTAGATGAGCTTTTTTCCACCCATTATTTTTGTGGTCAGAAAGGAAACGGCATTTCATTCAGAATTCATGTTATTTTTATAAAACATCAAAATCCTTTGCCCTAGGCCACCAAGAACGTTGTTTCTGAACTGGTATCACCGTGGAATTCCCGCCGGTCTGGGGACTCTGAAGGCTGTCAGGCAAACAAGTGTGCAGGCTTCTGAGCCCTCCCTCCTGTGCCCCGTGGGGTCACGACTATACATCCACCCTGTGGGCTCCTCCGCTTTGCCCTCGGCCGCCAACTTTTGCTGAGACCAGCTCCCGGGTTTGGCACTAGCTGCGAGCCCTGTGGACCCGGCAGAGCCACCCCCATCCTGGACGGGCGCTGGCATGAACGATGATGGTGCAGATCAGGGCTCCAGCAGACACACGTCTGGGCTTGTTCTTAAAATACCACATGGTTTTCATGTGTGATAAAGATGTCTTCCCATCTTTTCAGCCAGTTTTTCTCAAGATGGTCTCGGAGAACAAGGAGCTTCTCTGTGACCCATGGGACCCCCTGTGCACCCAGATTGTGTGTGTACCTGTCATGCTATTTGTTTTTTGGCTTCCGTGTTTGCTCATTGCGTTCCTCCTTGAATTTCTCAGTCACTGAGCGTGTCAGCCACCCCCGGGGTGCTCTGTGGACCTCAGAGCTTGACGTGAAATGCCCGGGAGCGATTCTAGTTCAGGAGGTGGTGGAAACTTACACTGGAATGTTCCTGAGAGCTGGGCATTTCTGGGCAGTTTAGCTGTTAGCACAGATCAGTTTCTCAGTTAATCCCATGTTCAAATTTTAGCCCTGGCATGTAATTGCTGTGAGATCTTGGGGAAATACATAGCCTTTCCAAGCCTTGTTTCCTTTGGCTACAAAACAGATAATTATAGCTTCTCTGTCTCCAACTGTAGATCATGATAAATATCCAAAAAAAAAAAGAAAAAAGAGTATGTGGGAGTATTTGATGAGTGGCGGAGAAAGTGGAAACACTGCCCAGTCTGGAGCGCACATTCATTTGTCCTGCGAGTGTTCTGACGGCCAGAGACAGGCCTGTGCCAGCCCGCGCTCTAGGAAGGCACGCAAGGTGGCCCCTCCCTGGGCTGTGGGGTCTGGGCACGGCTGCTGAGGTGTGGGGACGGGAGGTCAGAAGATTGGGGCGTCGCTCTCGGGGTGCTTCCCTGTGTGGTGGTGCCCTACACCACGAACCCAGGTCATGTCCTGCAGCCCTGCATGGGGTCCAGGGCCAGTCATGCCGCCTGGCAGAGACCAGCTCTAACCCTAACCCTTCTTTTTGAAATACCCATATGCTTGTATGCTGGCTTTTACTCCTTCCCACGTGTAACCCAACACAGGCATCAAAGACTGGTTTAGGAGACGGTCAGAAATTTGTCAAATTCTGTGTGAGGCCATCAGACACAGGAGCCATTTTTCAAGAATTTGATCAGCAGGCCTTCCCTTTAAGGGAAATTGCCCCTTTGTCCCCTGCCCTACTGTCTTGCTGTTCCCGTTATGGAAGTGGACCAGGCTGACCTGGGGTGTGACCTCTTGTGCCCCCACACAGCTCCACCTGCCCGTCTGTCCTGCTGCAACGCCTCACTTCTCCTCTTTCCCTCTCAAGGTTCCCAGGCTGGTGGACTACACGCACGACTGGAAGTGTGTCCCCAGCTGCAGCCAGGGAGGGGCTCGGCCATTGGAAAAGCCCAGAGTTGACTCAAGGTTTCCTTTTCTGCTTCTGTCCTGACATCTTTCACCGCAGGTTCCTCCGGTTCTGTTCTCACACCGGCGCTCCTCTCCTGCCTGCTGAGCTTGGGCTCTGCTGGGGCTGGTGCAGGACCTGCCCTCCGTCCCCGTCCCTTATGTCCCTTCTGCCTCTCCTGTGTCCTTCCTCCTCCTCCTCCTCCCCTCTCCCTCCCTCCTCCTCCCCCATCCTCCTCCTCCTTTCCTGCCTTAGCCACAGGCCCCCTCAGCTCCATTTATCACAGGTAATTTGATGAGTACAATGTGCCTGAGGCCCTTTTGCAGGAGCATGAGTACACGTACAGACCTTTTAGTTTATTGCTCAATTTAAAGAGAGTTTCTCCCCAATGACAATATTTTTAGTTCTTGTATTGGGTACATTTGTACCTTAACCAGAACACTGAAATGTTCTTTTATCATGAAATAGAATGTACCTGTAGAAGAATGCACAAAACATTTGTGTACTTTGAGGGTTGAAGGAAGCAAACATGTACATGAGCAGCTCCTGGTCAGGAAGGAGCCACGTGGCCAGTACCCCAGAGGTATGCTTGCCCCTCCGTCCCTGTGCAGAGCAGCCATTATTCCAACTTCAGGATTATTCTTGCTTTTCTCTATAGTTTGCATAATGTGTGCATTTCTCAGACAATACGGTTCATTGTTAAGTAAGTGTGTGATAGGACGTGTCTTTTCCTGCATCTCTGGCTCAGCACGTGTCTGTGTGAGGGGTCTGTGTGGGTGTCTCTGTGCCGTGGTCTCAGTGGTGACGGCCACTGCCGACTTCTGCACTCCGGCGTCCCCGACAGCAGCCGGTCCTGTGTGTGAATGCCGCTGCTCGGAGCGCATCCGTAGGTCCTCTGACGCTCACACGCTGGACTCCTTTCCCCGGTGGGTGACATGCCTGTGTCCTGGGGCTTCCTGTCCTCAGGCTGCTGGATGCCCCGGCCCTCTGGGTGCGGGGCCAATGGCAAAGCACATGCCCTTGCGGGGATGGCCCACATCCCCCCGCCGACTCACGGGGGGGCCAGGCCTAGAGGTAGAGTCTGTGCTGCCTCTTCCCATCTCTTGCCCATTTCACTGTTCCATATTCTGTCGTTTTCTTTCTTGTCTGTGGGAGTTGCTTTACGTGACTTGAAACTGTGCTTTTCACTTCAGGACGACGTGATGATGCCTCAGAGGGTGAGGCTCCAGCTGGAGGCTGCTGCCCAGCACCCGACAAGCGTGAGTCCGCGTCCATCCCTGGGCTGTCCCCAGGCTGTCCCCAGAATGTCCCCAGACTATCTCTAGAACGTCCCCAGAACATCCCCGGACTATTCCCAGACTATCCCCAGAACATCCCTAGAACCTCCCAGACTGTCCCCGGATCATCCCCAGACCATCCCTCCGGACCCCGCGGGCCATCCCCAAACTGTCCGCAGATCATCCCCAGGCCGTCCCCCAGATTGTCCCCAGGCTGTCCCCAGGTTGTCCCTGGACCATCCCCAGACTGTCCCCAGGCTGTCCCCGGACCATCCCCAGAATGTCCCGGACTGTCCCCAGACTGTCCCCAGACCATCCCTCAGGCCGTCCCCGGACTGTCCGCAGATCGTATCCAGGCCATCCCCCAGACTGTCCCCAGGCTGTCCCCGGACCATCTCCAGACTGTCCCTGGACCATCCCCAGACCATCCCTCCGGACCCCGCGGGCCATCCCCAAACTGTCCGCAGATCATCCGCAGGCCGTCCCCCAGATTGTCCCCAGGCTGTCCCCAGGTTGTCCCTGGACCATCCCCAGAACATCCCCAGGCTGTCCCTGGACCATCTCCAGACTGTCCCCAGGCTGTCCTCGGACCATCCCCAGAACGTCCCGGACTGTCCCTAGACTGTCCCCAGACCATCCCCAAGTCCGTCCCTGGACGTCCACAGATTATATCCAGGCCATCCCCCAGAATGTCCCCAGGCTGTCCCTGGACCATCCCCAGAACATCCCCAGGCTGTCCCCAGACCGTCCCCAGGACGTCCCCAGGCTGCCGTACAGACTGAGAGTTTCCCGACTGCAGGGATCAAACACAGACCAGAATCCCAGGCATTCTGCTAACTGTTGGCTGCACATGCTCTCGCAAAGACAGGCAGGCAGCTGCTGTCCGGGAGGACTAGGCATGGCCACAAAGGCGCCATGAGGGGGGTCCCTGGTTGGGGAGACTTGCATGATTTTTCAAGATGTTACTATTGGAGAAACCATGTAAAAGATACACGGGATCTCTGTGTGTTATTTACACTACAAAAAAGTTTCATTAAAAGAACCGAACACAAAATTATGCAAGCAGAAAAAAATTTTTTTTTAAGATTTCATTTATTTATTAGAGAGACAGAGATCACAAGTAGGCAGAGAGGCAGGCAGAGAGAGAGGAAGGGAAGCAGGGTCCCCGCTGAGCAGAGAGCCTGATGCAGGGCTTGATCCCAGGACCCTGAGATCATGACCTGAGCCGAAGGCAGAGGCTTTAACCCACTGAGCCACCCAGGCGCCCCAAGCAAAAACTTTCTTATGTCTTCGTTAGCGTTCCTGCATTAATATACATTAATCACCATGCAGATGTGCTATAGACAGCTGAATTTAAGGAATTCAAGAGTCATGGTAGAACTTTTGACAATTTCTTTTTATGTGTTTATTTACTTATGTATTTACTTTAGAGAGAGGGCATGAGCGGGGGGCAGAAGGAGAGGGAGAGAGAGCACACACTTGCTTGGGCAGCCCCGGCCCCCACGGCCCCTGCCGCCCCTCCAACAGAGCTCAAAACCTGGGGACAGCACCACACTTTGGCTTTGGGCTGTATGCGGGTATTTGGGATGCCTGTGTGAGACTGCTCCGAGGTGGAGGCTCCCGTCCTCCAGAGTCCGCTGAGGCTGGTCCCCACTGTAGGTGTCTGGGCCCGTCGCTGCAGAAGGAGCTGCTCCCTCTGGGGGACACCCAGCAGTACAGGGCCTGCCCCCCCCACCCAGGTGAGGCTCACAGGGCTCCAGTAAGGACCCAGGTGTGGCCAGCAGCCGACCCTGACCTGCACTCTCTCCTCCTCAGAGTGGTCGCTAAGACCTGCATCACCGAATCAGTCTCCTTATTAAGAAATTATCGGGGGGCGCCTGGGTGGCTCAGCGGGTTAAAGCCTCTGCCTTTGGCTCAGGTCATGATCCCAGGGTCCTGGGATCGAGCCCCGCATCGGGCTCTCTGCTCAGCAGGAGCCTGCTTCCTCCTCTCTCTCTGCCTGCTTGTGATCTCTGTCAAATAAATAAATAAAATCTTAAAAAAAAAAAAAGAAAGAAATTATTGGGGGGGGGCGCACCTGGGGGGCTTCATCATTGAGTGTCTGCCTTCAGCTCAGGTCATGATCGCAGGGTCCTGGGATCAAGCCCTGCATCGGGCTCCCTGCTCAGCTTCTCCCTCTCCCACTCCCCCTGCTTGTGTTCCCTCTCTTGCTGTCTCTCTCTCTGTGTTAAATAAAAAAATAAAATCTTTATTAAAAAAAAAAAAATTTAGGGCGTCTGGGTGGCTCAGTGGGTTAAAGCCTCTGCCTTCGGCTCAGGTCATGATCTCAGGGTCCTGGGATCAAGCCCCACATCGGGCTCTCTGCTCAGCGCGGAGCCTGCTCCCCGACCGCCCCGCCTGCCTCTCTGCCTGCTTGTGATCTCTGTCTGTCAAATAAATAAATAAATAAAATCTTTTAAAAAAATAAAAATAAAATAAAAAATAATTTTAATTAATTATCAGGGTGCCTGGGTGGTGCTTGGTAAGCCTCCGGCTCTTGGTGTTGCCTCGGGTTGTGATCTCAGAGTCCTGGGATCGAGCCCTGAGCTCAGCAGGGAGCCTGCTCGAGATCCTCTCTCCCTTGCCCTCTGCCCCTCGTGTCTGCCTGAGTCATGGTTCAGGTCGAACCTGCTGAGGTAGCTGGACATCTGACCTTGTGCACAGAGCATTGTAACTGTGCATTAAGGGGGAAGGCTTATCGGCGACAGCTCTAACCTGGGGTGATTTCATGGGTGCTGCTGGAACGGGCAGGGTAGGACCGTCCATCATGGGGTCCAGCCTGAACCCTGCATCTCCCTCTCCCCCTTTCCTTCCAGAAGTTTTCCCAGCCCGATCAGATACAAGTCTTTGTTAGTTCCCTGCTGGGTGTGCCAGCTCACGCCAGGTGAGACGTCTGTGGATAGGTGTGTGTGCCTGTCAGCCCACGGTGACTGTCTTTTAAGTTCTGTTTTGTTGTCTCACAGATTATCGGTTGCCGAGTAAGGAGAGAGCCCCCCAACTCCACTGAGCGATACACACGGTGGATCAACCAGCTAACGCCAGACCAGCTTCTTACTCAGGTACCCCTGCCCCCATTCGAGAGCCCCCCAGGACGTCCTGAGAGCTGTTAGTTCCTGTGTTTGCCTGACCTGTGGGTCTGGCCTGGGAAGGAGCCAGAGCCAGCAGGCAGGTGCGGAAGGCCTGGCTGGAGGCTGGGGAGGGGAAGAGGCGTCCAGGAAAGGCCCAGGTTTCGGGCAGGACTCAGGGACGTCCCCAGGGCAGGCTACCTTGGAGCAGGGTCTGAGGGAGACTCGCCTTCTGGGTGGGGCTGGCCAGAAAACCAATGTGCAGGCGGTGGGACCCGCAGAGGAAGTGGACTGCGTGCTCTGGTCCCAGATTCAGGTCTGCCACGGGGCTAGAGTCCTGGAGTTTGCTTCTGTGTCTGACCTGCCTTGCTAGCTTGTACACTCTGCTCCTCACACACACACACACACACACACAGAGAAAGTGCTTCTGCATGTGGACTTACTTGTCACATTTTGAGAAGATGAAGATCCCATGAATGGCCTCATTAGATGCCAGTGGGAGAGATTTGTTTTCCAGCTGCCCCAAAGCCCAACAGGCAGAACAGCCAGCATGTGGGCCCGGCGCAGCCTGCACCCTCCCCTCACAGGATGAGGGGGCCTTGAGGTGGGAACTCGTGGCCATGGGAGGGTGGGGGCCTGCAGAGGTGACTCCAGGCCATGGGTCTGGGGTGCCACTCCTACCTGCCCGTGCCGCTGCCCTACTGTCCCTGGTGGCTTCCCCACTGGAATGGAGAAGTCCCTCCCCTGTGGGGCACAGGGCGCTGCTGCTTGGGGCCTGGCACCACACACAGCCTTCTCCCCGCAGCTGGTACAGTTGCCCAAGGGCGCAGAGTGCGTTCGAGGGGTCAAACCTCATGACCCAGAGCCTCAGAGACTGCGGAGGGCCTGGCGGTGAGCAGCCCTTGCACGGAGAAGCAGCCCACAGTCTGTGGCCCTTCCCTCCCAAGAGGGTGGGCCTGTGGGGCTCATGCTTCTGGAATGTGTGCCTTTCTATGGACACGGTCAGAACACGCACTCAGGTTGGCTTTTGTTTTTCTTAACCAAGATCACAGCTGACTCAGTGAAGAGCTGCTAAGGGCTTCATATTCCTAACTGGGGAATTCAGACTCCACACTCAGTGGGAAAGCTTCTGGCCCTGATTTGGGGCACCCAGAGGCTCCTTGGCAGGGCCAGGCCCCGCCCGGCCCCAGCGAGGGTCTGGAGACATGGCGCTCCACTCTGGAGCTCTGGCAGCTGTGTGTGTTGGCTGTCGGCCTGTGCGCTGGGTTCTCTGGTAGAACGTGAGTCATGCAGGGGCTGTGTCGCCCAGCACCGAGGGTGTAGGTTACATGCCGTGGGCACGTCTGCAGCCAGAAATCCAAGTTCTGAGTCGAGGGTATTAAGCATCATAGAAATAATTAAGGCAGGGTCCTCTTAAATAGTGTTTTTCTTTATCAAGGGAAGATAAAGTCTGATGTTTTTCAAAAATAAACTGAAAGAAGCTGATGTTCTCTAAGCCACTGGTCAGTGCCACGGGTGCACCACCTTACCAAGGGGAATAGGTTGGCAGGTGAGGTGGCGGGTGTCCGTCCTCTAAGCTGATCTCATTTGTGAGGTGGGGAGCAGCACGATTCCCAAGGAGCCTGCATCTCCTGAATCAGGGAGACCAAAGGGGAGGCAAGGCCGGACCCCTCCTGGTCCCCCGCCCTGGGGTCTGGCAGCAGGGGCTGGAGGGGGCCCAGGCGGCTGGCCCCTGAGGTCCAGGGCTCAGCCTACACCGCAGGTCAGCACCAGGCCTGGTGAGCAGTGCTGATGTCCTGGTTCCGCCAGGGGCCCCCTCCTGATCCACATGGCAGGGGTGCCCAGGGCTGGTCATGCCCCAGAGGCCAGTGGCCTCCATCAGCTTCATTACCTCAGTTTTGTTCACAAAACTCAAGGGTTTAAGCACAATATCCAGGCTCATTCTTTGACCCACTCATTTGAAGATATTTGGCAACACGCGTGACGGTCTCTATTGGCTGATTTAGAAGACGGTGTCGGGGGGAGGGCTCTGGGTGACAGAGATGCTCTCCTGTCCATGGGGGACGCTCGGGTCTTCCTTGTATAAAGAGACTGTTTCACAGTCCTCTACCTCTGTGTGCCTTTCCCTTGAAAGTTTGTCCTTCATAGTACAATGATTTTATCTAATTCTAACCCACACTCATGACACTTAAAAACTTACATAATTTGACACAGACTAAGCTGTACTGTTTTTCTTCTTCTTCTTTTTTTTTTTTTTTTCATTTAAAGGGAGCATCAGAAAGTGTTTCTGCAGTACAGATTTACAGAACTGACAACTTTCTCTAAAACATACTATGGAGAGGGGAAACTCTGTCTTAATGTCTGTTTCTCTATTAAACCCAGAAGCCAGAGATCTTGGATCTAACATCAGAGTTTATTCTTGTTGCTATGTGGGTGTTAAAATGTCAGAATTCTGGAACATTTGTTATCTGTCTAAAGATAGTCTTCCAACAAATTAGAAGTAAGGATAATAAACCACAGGAATCTGGAAATGAGTCATACAATCTCTGCTCTTCTCTAAGAAGAATTCATATCACTTCCTGGTAAGATACCACTAATGAGCCTGCGAATTTCATTAAATGCTCCATTCTCCTTTAACTGCAAGGCTTTTCCGTTATGAATATAAACTGAACTCATTTTAAGTCTGTAATCCATAGTTTTGTCTTTTCTGAGTACCAAAAGCATGTAAAAGCGTCTGTCAGTAAGCATCTGTCCGTCCTGAGCCTTTTGTGAGGGCAGACTCTGCTTTGGGCAAGGGAGGCCAGAGCTGATGGGCTTGTTTCCCTGTGTATGTTCCTGCAGGCACTGGAAGGAACTACATAGAATTTCTGGGAAGTGCACTTTCTGTTGCTGGCAAAACAAGGGGAGAGACAAAAGCAAACCCCCAGGTCCTCAGAACAGCAGCATGGGCCCCCTAGCCTCGCCTGGGAACTCCTTCTTTTTAACAAACTTCTGAGAAACTGGATTATCTGATTTTTCAGTTGGTGACACATCAGAACCAGAAGGAGACAAAATCAAAAGGGAATCAGGGAGAGCCCAGAGCTTCTGGGACTTCTCACTGCAGCGGCGGGCCCCCATGCGCCCTGCGCACCTCCCTCCCTGCGCGCACTGCCCCTTACCTGTGCGCGCCCCTCCCCCGTGCGCGATCCCCCTTACCTGTGCGCGCCCCTCCTGTGGTCGTTCCTGACTCGTCCCGGCGGATTTGCGGGCCAATCTGGCGAGGAGGCCGCGGACGGCAGCGGTCGGGTAGGAAGCCCGGCTCCGCGGAGGGAAGGGGCCTGCGTCGGGCCGCGGACTCCGCGTGGCGGCTCTGGCATCTGGGCGAGGAAGGGCTCGTTGTGACGCGTCCGGGTCTGGCTCGGGGTCCGAGGTTCCACCTCCTGGTGCGCGCAACCCGCGCGCCCTCTACCGGGGCCTGAGCCTGAGCGTCAACCGCCGGCAGGTGAGTGTAGAAAGTAGCGAGAATGCGTCAGGCCTCTTGGGTCTGTTGCATCTGCTTCCAAGAATCCGAAGAGTGTTGGGCGCTGCTTCTGCAATTTTCTGTACCTCATTTACACCAAACCCTACGTTTGGGAGAGAGATGAAGGGGCGATACTAGCCTACGCCAGGCATCAGTAACCAAAGAAGCAGCTTCGATCAAATTGAAGCAACGTTGCGCTCCTTAGCAGTTAGACCAGGGCTGGCAGACTGGGGCTCGGGGCCACGTCTTCTCCTAAGGTGCACAGCCTTGCCCACTTGTTTGTGGGTGGTGGTGGCTGTCCTTGCTCAGGTTGGTGGAGCTGAGTGCCTGCGATGTGGAGGCTGCGGCCAGACCTGGCCATTTGGAGAAAAAGCATCTACCCTGAGCTGGGCAGCCGCGTGGGGGACTCGCCAGCACCCGGAGGTAACGTCAGGCATTTGTCCACGTGCTGGCCTGTGGCACCAAGGAGCCACCCAGACGCTGAGCTCGGGTAGGCAGGGGGCCATCAGCACCACTTCCCCCAGGGGAGCCTGAGGCATGGCAGTGGGTGGAGAGCGGGGCTTGTTTCCACCACCTTGGCAGCTGGCCCTTACATTGCTCTTCGAACAGTGACAACTTCTCAGAACATTTTAGCCGTGTGCCCTTCTTGTGCAGCATGCTCTCTCGCTCACAAGAAGCAGGTCCAGCAGCTTGGGTAGCGGGGCGATTCTGTGCTTCTCCTCTCACTGTGAGGCGCCTGGAGCATGGCTCTCGTCCCGCAGAGCCCCGGTCAGCCGGTGGGGTCAGGCGAGGTCAAGGGCGTGCCTATGGGACGGGTTCCCAGGGCCTGCACCTTGGGACCCAGAGAGCAGACAGGCACTGGTCACTGCCAGACATGGCTGGCCCCCGCCATCCTCGCTGCCGGCCTTGGAAATCCCTTAGAGTCTGCCGCAGTGATTGGTGACTTGCCTTCAAGTTGCATGGCAGGGGTGGGTGGAAGTATTTCCTAAGAAAACTCTTTTCCTCAAAATTTTAAGATTTTGTTACCACCTCCCACCCTCACTTGGCCTTTAAAGGAAAAACAAGTTTACTCGGCAGACCTGTTTGTCTTCCTTAAGTTATTTGAATGATGTGGCCAGCCAGGTCTCCGTGGGGTCAGCAGATAACCGCTCTCACCTGGCACCTGACCCCGTGGTAACTTAGCTATAGCCAGGGTAGGAGGGCGTTATTCATTAGAGAATTGCAAAAAGGACGATCCCAGTGGAAGAGAAAAACCACAGCAGGTGTCTGTCTTGAGTCATTTAAATGATTTAAGGAGATGACATGCAGGGAGCCAGCCTCTGCCTTCCTCCAGGGGAGACGGATCTGCCATGGTGACCGGTCTTCCCTCCAGAAGAAAGAGAAACGTACCATTTGGAAGGTCCCAGTCCCGGGTTTGTGTTGTCCATTCTTGTTCTGGGCCTCGTCCTCGTTAAGAAACTTTGTTGGGTATCAGCCGTGTGTTGTGGAATGGCCG